AAAATGGTACAACAAGAGTGAATCCCCGGCACCGAGCGAGCGACCGGCAACACGAGATGCGTGGTCGTTGAAACGAAAGGATTAATAACAGAGATTTTCTGTCTGACGAGCGTCGAAAGCGCTGCGCAGCGATGGCAATTGCCATTAACGGGACAAGCGCGGAGAATAATAACGTTATACTTGGAAAATCTGTTGCATCGCTCGAATCGGACTGTTGCTTTCTCTTGGCGATTAGAAACAAAGACAAAACTCGATTTTTCTTTTAGTAACACGTTCTGTGCTGTGGGTACCATTTATGGTACACGAGGAATTTTTGTAGGAAAACAAAGGAAACAACGTTTGTGAGACATATGCCATTAATGGGCTAAGAGTAGAGAATATTACATTTGGAAAAACTGTTTTCGTGTTTTTCATTACCACGTTTCATGCCATTGGTACCATTTATGGTACACGCAAAATTTTTGTGAGACACGTGTCAAAGAACAATGGTACCTGAACGAGTCAAACAATTAGAAAAAGGACTACGATTTTCAAACTCAAAGTGTGCAATGGGTTACAAAAGAATGGTAAGCTATTACCATTGCTACAGTAATAACGGTGAGATTCTATGAATAAATATACATTATTTTGTCCGTTGGAATTACTAGATCGAGATTCACCGTGCAGATTTTGGGAAGTGTGTTCTAGTGATTTTTAAACGATATTATAGGGAATTGTAATTTCGCGCGGTCGGTAATGCCACAGATAAATCTGCGGTACGCACGTCCGTGCTGGCCGGCGGATTCTAATTCGTGTATCCGCGGCCAATCCACGGGACCCGATTAATTCGATAGACCGGCGGAAATAGAGGATCGAATACCGTCCTGCTGGAACCATAAACGGGGGAGAGGATTCCCGGCCCCGTGTTGTTCATTAGCGGATTGCGGATTCATGCAAATTTCGATTTTATGGTTTTCCGCGTACCGCGCATGCGCACCGCGGTCAGGGTTCCCCCGAACGGCGACCGAAATGCGATTTCGAAATTTTACGAATAATTCCGAATTTATTAAACCCCGTACAATAAATAACGCGAGCATAATTCTGAACGATAAGTACCGTACGCGAAATTGACGAGTGTTTTACGAATAAAAAAAAAAGAAAAATTTGTATAATTTTGTATAAGAAAAAACACTATCCCCGTTCCCGGACGTCTAGTGAATTTTGTCCAATAACAACGCGTTCCGGTAACTCCTCCCTTTGACCCGGCCAACCTTGAATCTCGTCGCACGAATATTCTTAATAAAAATAAAAATATAAACTCGTAACGCCGGTGTGACTCATGTTTACATTCACGGTGTATTTTTAACCTGTTAACCGGGAATAATAACACTAACTCGATTGTATTCAACTGCATCTTGTAATCGCTTTTTTATTGGCCCCTAGAAGAGAGTCCTTGTAACCTATGTTCCGTATCCAGATGCAACCGTCTCCGGGAATCCCGTAAGAGTAAATTTCACCGATACTAACGATATCTCCAAAGGAGACTGGAAATTTCTCGTTCACGTCCATTTTGGACATTGATGCCCATCAATCGAGCATTATAACAACGACTGCACGGCGACGAAACGATGGGAACGCGGACGCAAAAAATTCGGCAACGTCAGGTGACGCGCAATTCGTGCGGAATCTTGACGCCGCCTGTCTGTCAATGAGGGAGGAAAAAAAATTGTACGCGACACGCTGCGTCCCCGGGATTCGCTGGGAAAAAATTCGGGACAGTGTCGGGTTTCGGGAAGAAGCCAGCGGTTAGCGGGGAACCCGTAAAAAATTCGTGCAGGGATCGTTAGGATCCACGTGCTACGAAATACGTTCTCGGTGAGCCGGCGTCACCCGGCGGATACGTCGTTCACGAACAATCGAATTAACGGTCGAAGTATGCCGATCCGACGATCGGAAAATCGGTGAATCGGCGCGGAAAGAACACGGGAGAAGATGGCGATGGTTTTACTCACCGTTAACGGCAATATATCCTGGAGAAATGCGTCGGAATACGGATCCCAATCACTTGCAACAACACTTCACTCGAGTACGCCGATCACTGCGCTTGTGCGTTCAAATTCATCGTCCTCCGGCGCAGCACTGCTGCCATCTTGCGCGACTCCGGCGCAGCTCAATTATACCCGCAAAGCGCATTCACAATGGCCGCGAACGATCCTGGATTTAAATCTTACACGCATGAAGCTTGAGACGATTAAAAATGTATGGGGAAATGATGGGCGTTGGTATGAATCGGTTTTAAGAAATCGCGTAGCAACGTGTACGCTCGAAGGCGTACGTCGGCGTCGACGTTCCTGCGAGGAGTGAACAATTCTTCGACCATAGATGCAAAAAAAAGGTACTCCGACCATTCTCCGACCTACCAACTGGAATCGAGGTAGGCCTGATTTATGGCGACCTCGAACGTCAAGAATTCTTAACGCAGTAACGTTGCGGTTTAGCGTGCAGTAAGAAAAGGATTTAATATTTACCATTAATTGGAGACACCAACGGAGAATAATACAGTTTTATCTTAAATCTAAGGAACAAAACTTTGTTCGATTATTTTCAAACCATAAAGACGACGTCCATATTCTTCTTTCCATGACCGAAATAAAGAGACCCATAATGTGGGCTGTTCAGTTTGTGATAGAAAGTCATGCCGGGCCAGTACAGGCTGTGCAAGATTACCAGATTTTTCTCTTGCAGCACTTGCAGGCTCCAGCAACCTATATAGGCGTGCAATATTGTAAAATTATTTTTATATTTTAAATATATCATTGTACCTTGTGGGACATCGAGGTCGATCGTGTCTAAGAAATCAATTGCGTAATTGTAGTCAGGTCTAGTTAATAAATTAGTATTCCATTTTTGTTGAGGAGGACGTGCGTGTAAATAGGACTTTAAATAAGTGCTCTCGGCAGAATTGAGTCCTTCGAAACTCAAATTTTCGATCACCTCACCGTTTGGACATTTGAACCAAGCACCGCGCGGAATTAGTGCAGCATCTTCTCTAATTAGATCTACTATTGCTGCAAGTCTATCTTCCTCTTTCAGTTCTTTAGGTATGGGACCCTAGAGTGTATCAAAGTTTTTGGATACTTCGTTTTCAAGTTTCAAAACAAACTACAAACACGTAGCGCCATCTTACATCGAAGTACTTCTTGGGATCCTCATTTGGCGGAAACGGGGGATTTATGTTGTAAACGTTTGTCATTATCGATGGATCACCTTCAAATTTATTAATCGCGAGAGGAGTTAAAAATCGAGCGCATTTATTTGCCTTTGGTAGAAGCAACCAATTGAAACCATCCGTGCTGATCATCGTATAATGTATGTTAACGCAATGAGATAAAATTTGTGTTAAATTGAGAACCACTGTTCGCTTACCTATAATAATAAACTTGTCCATCCATACAGTCTTTTTCAAATCCATAAGCGATATGATAATCGTTTTGTATCCCGTAAATTTTACCCCAATAATAACATTTTCGAAAATGATTTTCTTTTTGCAGTACTACAAGAGAATTTTGCAATAACTGAGAATTTTCAGTGCCTACGCAAATTCCGGCATGACCCAGGATATCTAAACTCTCCAGCAATTTTACGCATTGCATTTTTTAGTCGTGCGTTTTATTATGTTGCTAAACTACAGATAAATTATTGGCAGATTAAGCGAAGAATAACTTTCTAATATTTTCAAAACAATTGAAAACTTAGGTCTTGTCATAAACAATTAAATTCGTAATTTGTGATTGCATAAAAAAGTTGCAGCGAGTGTACACAACCAATGTAAACAAGTTATAACATGTCGTGTTTTGAACGTTAGTTCTGTTCGTTAGAAGAAGTAAAATGTCTTCGTCCGAGGAGGAAAGTGATAAACTTTCAGATCTAGAAGTTATTCGCGATAGAATTTTAACTGAACCCCGAGGTGAACGTATGCAAGTTAGTGCCTGGGAAGATGATGACGATGGAGTGGAAGCTGAACGTAATGCAAAAGGTTAGGGGTTAGAATTTTCATTTATGCTTATAGTACTTTTCTGAAGAAAATGATGTTCCTTTTTTTCAGAACCTGATGCAAAGGAAATTCTTGAAGCAGCTGAACGAGGTGATTTGGCAAAGATCAAAAAGTTGTTAACAAAAAATTTACGGTTGTTAGAATGTACTGATAAAGATGGTTATACACCATTGCACAGAGCTTGCTATGGTAATCATGTGGAAATTGTGGAGGTACGGACTCTTATAATTTTTTATCGAATAATAGTTCTCATTCAGATCGATGTTACTTTATCTTTTTTGTAGTATTTACTTCAAGCTGGTGCAAAGATAGATGCTAAAACTTTGGATGAATGGCAACCATTGCATTCAGCTTGTTGCTGGAATAACGTGGAATGTGCTGCAGTTTTAATTGCAAATGGGGCAGACATAAATGCTCAGAGTAAAGGGGATCAAACACCTCTGCATTTAGTGTGTGCAAGCTCTCATAATTCCCGTTCATTGCAACTCCTCCTCCTGCATCCAGACACGAATCATCGTTTAATAAACTCAAGTGGTGATACAGCAGAGCAGATTGCTAGAAGAACAGGGAAGTACTATCCCATGTTTGAAATTGTTGAGGACTGTTTAAATATAATATAAGGTAAGTCAATGTCTATTGTACTGTTAATCTTTTATGAATATACTTAATATCCTTATATACAAACATTACAATGTTATGAACATAAAAAATGTATGAAAGTAACAGTTTGATGTAAGCGTATCTACAATGTACTATTGTCCTATTTATAAATATATTAATAACATAACTCATACCTCCTATGTAAGTGCATTATATGCTTTAATACAACAGAGCACAAAAATATTGCAAGAGTACTATTAAAAGTGTAACAAAAACGTAATTATAATAAAGATTTCAATAAAATAATACTTTAACTTTGTCCTTTTTTTTGTTCTGTAGATGGAATTGTGGTGCAAAACAGTTTCTTTAAGGAATGAGAAACGAATTCGAGCGATATTATTTTTATAAAAATGCGAATACGATGTCGATGTGGTGTGATGATTGCATGACTCGAGTGTTTCTCTTCAATAAAATATCGATAAAATAGAAACGAATGTTCGATGCTATACAAAATAAATTGTTCGTTGCGTTGATGAATTTAAAAGGCATTCTGGTTTCATTTATTTACATTAGAGGGACGTTAAGTTCACGAACTTTGGAGTGCCGTTGCTTAGACGCTTAGACCCTTCCCATATGAGAACAGTGAAGTCTTCGGTGACCGCGTACAAATGATGCTGATCTAATGCCCACGATATTGCGATCACTGCACCACAACCTCTGATGCCATTTACAATCTCTCTAACTAGCCTCAAGTCCCAACTGCTCCATAATCGTATCACTCCGTTATCTAATCCTGTCGCGATAACATTTACGGAAACTCCTTCAGGCGCATTACTGTAGCAAAGAGCTGTTATTTTGTTCCTAGACAAAACGGAACCGACCGCTCTCGCATTTATAGTAAATACTTTCAGTTCTGACTGACTGGAAGACGCATTCTCCACCGTCTTAGTGGTTTCGTAAGTGACGGCAATATCTCCGAGTGTTTCGCTAATCGATAGCAATCGAATAGGATACTGTGCCTCGCAGGATACCGATCTGACATACGTTAAACTGCAAAAGAAATATTTGATTGTGTTAGCAAAGAGTTTTATGTAAATTAGCGTATTTATATTAATATGAACGCACCTATTCAAGTCCCATATAACAATAACCCCACTTGTATCACCGGTAACAGCTATACTAAATGCCCGTGAAATAGATATCGTAGTTATTCTACTCCTGTGAGCTAACAGCACGCAAGCTGGGACTGAACTGAAATCAATTTTACTTGGCACAACGGTGTAAGTATGTACAGTGACTCTGCCTGATAGGTGACCTGCCCATAGCTGTCCACAATCTGGTGCAGATCCCAAAATAGTAATCTATAAAAACATATAAGAACTTATACTATCAAACTTTTGATGTTATAGCTAATTTTAGATTGTAAATTGTTTTACTTACAGGATCCAATCCCGAAGATTTCATCAGTGGCCTCGGTGGTTGTTCCTTTTTACATTTCAGTCTTGTAATTCCATCTGTACCACTCCAGGACACCAAAGCAGCACCCAGTACGGATGTTCCGCTTAACATACTTGCACCTGGAAGCATTACAAATTTTAAAAATGAACAAGGTACCTACAAATAAGTTACAGAATTATGAAGGAACTTTAAGAGCTAATGAGAGGTACCTTTCTCTTTCGTATAACCAAGCAGAAGGGTGGTATAATTAGGCAATCCAAAAACATCCCCTGTCATCAGGGGAACCAAGCTGCCTAACGGTGCTCTGTGCTTATGTTTCCAGCATAAGACTGGCTCGTTTCCGGGTGCACCAACGTAATTTCCCCATTTTATGCCTGTAACACCCCAAGGCAAATATTAATATTTCAAAGTAGAATTTATAAGACAATTCTCTAGACTTCAAAACATGCCCTACCTTCTACACCATCGATTACTTGAGGCAACGACGTATGTGAAATAGAACTTCCAACATTTTGTAATGGTAACGGATGTGCAACTTTGAACAATTGCGCCGGTGTTTGACCATAAGTTCGCACCATAGTTTCCCAAGCCTGACGTTCCAAGGGGTCTGATATTTGATCCACATTAAATCCATAATAGGTCTGAAAAGATCAACTTGAGTGAACTTCGAACTTCGAACAAGATGTAAATAAATTACGTCGCTTCAATTTACCGCAGGATGAAAAACATTTATTGCTTCCACAGCCGGTCTTCCTGTCTGCCTGAATCCAAACACCAGATCAATCCAATAGGGCAAAACTTCTCTGACAATATCCGCTTCTAAAGCTGCCCTATGAGCAAGCACAAAAAGCCTCGCGTCGCCGCCGCACCATTTTGGCAATTCGACATCCCCGACTCTATTCCCATTCTGTCGCACACCGAAATTGAATCCTTCAGAGTTCAACAAAAATTCCGGCAAATAGAAAAATTCCGGGATCAATTCCTTCACATCAGTCGTGGAGTCGCAACTGGTTAGTCTCCAGGTAGTAGCCAGCGCATGAAACGTTCTGTCAGGAATGTCGAAGTTGTCATCTTGATAACAGAGGAACATGCTGGTGAAAGGCGGCAGTCGCACCAAAAAATGCAGCACCGTTCCAGAATTACTGTAATGTGATCCATAATGAAACGGTTCTTGATTCAGCGCAATCAAATTCAACCCTTCCGACAAAGCTTGCTTCAAGTAGTTGTAATTATTAATATAATGTTGCTCGTTCTTCTTATCCTGCACAGCCATGGGCCGCTTGAAGTTCCGATAAATCTTAGGAGAGTTCAGATCAATCTTCTCGTTCGTGTAATCCGCCAACACGAACGGGAAGACAGGATACTGCATCAAGTCATTGTAAGAACGACCAGCCAATTTGTTGAGGCAAGTTATGTACTCCCAATTAGTCAAAGCTCCGCTTCGCCACAGCATGATGGCTTCGCTTAAATCATCACCAGGTACCCGCCTTGGTAGATTGCAAGCGGACAATTCTGTGACGAATTCGTCTCGTTGCTTGGACGAGTTGAACGCTAATAAATAAGTCCTTCCTGTAATCAAGAATATCTCGATGGCTCTTTCCTGCAGCTGGTACCTCCTCCTGTGCAACTCTCGGATGTCTTCTAGACGCCATGCTGTTCCGCCTACCATAGCCAGATCCAATCCTCCTAAAGCTATGTCGGTGTGCAACGGGATGTCAGGATTGTCAGGTACAAAATAAAGACAGGTCTCGCCGATGAGCACTTCGCCAGCCAGTTCGGCTCTAGGTGTGACTACTTTCGCCTGGGACATTTTGCGTATCCTTTCACTGGTATGCAGCCGCTCGATCAACGCTGATGCGTTCGCGTCTTGTCTATCAGTCATGAACAGATAAGACAACGGTGCCTCGATTTTTGCGGCTTCCAATTTATCCTGGTGATCAGCCATGAAGAATCTCTTGTCGATGTTCAGGTGGCACCTCTGCAGGCGGATCCTGACTCTAGCAGGTCCCTCGGTTGGATCCAGTTCCCAGCTTCTCGGGTAGCTTGTATCAAAGTGCCAGGCGGCTCTTTCATGCGTCAAACGTCTGGCCAGGTCCCTCCACTTGGCGACCGCCTGAGCCTCCATCGCTCTAGAATGTTTCAGTCTTTCCATTAATACTTTCCGTTCTTGATTCTGTTCCTCGACAACCGTCCGCGTGATGGTCATCGCGCTCTCCGTCAGTTGCTTCGCGATTACGTCGAACCTGTTCGCGATTCTCTGGATTGCTGGTAGATTGTTGTCGATCCAAATGTCACGGTCCCTCATCAGTTCCCTTCTTAACAGAGCCAACTCCTCGTTCCAGATTCCTGGACTGGCTTGCTCTATGCCTTTGGCTAGGTCCCAGATGTTCAATGCTTCCTTCAGCTCCGCGCAGATCCTAGCGTCAGCGCTGGGCATCTCGTCCCGCCTTTGCAACAGGTCCCAAAAGAACACGGTGAACTTTTGCTCCACTTGAGGATGAACTTCCAGCAAAGACGACAGTATGTCTCTGGCTTTCGGCTCTTCCATCAGCGATCGCACCGCGAATATCCGCGTGTTGTTGCTTTGGTGTGGCCCCAGAAGCCAGACCATTATCTTCGCTGTGTACTTCCGCAACGCGTGTCTAGCTGACCAGCCGCTGCTCCAGTGGTTCTTCTTCTCAAGCGGGTTGCAGAGACCGTGCAGAAGGATTGAGAATAATCTCTTGGTCAGTTGCAGCTCGTTTCCAGATGGAGACTCGTCGGCTGCCGTTATAAACTCCACCGCGCGGGTCAGAACGATACGGAGTCGATCCAACAATTCTCCTTTCCCTGTCTCGCGCAAAGTCGCCATCGTTGGCGCGTACAAGCTTGTGAAACTAGACGATCGAGACCCGTGGTCGCTTTGGTCGCTGGACGTTGTAAAAACTGAAAGGAACGTTGTGAGATGAACCGGATTACTATAATTCACTCAGTTAAACTATCATTATTTGGAAAGATGTCTATGTTATAAATAATGCTGCCTAATGCGGTGACATTCAGCTAGACGAACATCCAATAATAATAATGCAATTGTGTTAAGGTTTTATATGTTATAAGATGGTAGTTACCTGAGGTCATGTGAGACGCTGAAGCTAGATACGACGCCGTGCTTCTCAATCGAAAGCCCGACTGATTCCAGACTTTAACCATCAGTACATCCAGTTCACCGTCGAAGAGGGCGACTTGTGCGTCCCTCACCACTGATACGCAGCTTCTGTTCTTCGTGCAATGTGTCTTCTCTTTCAGTTCCATGTGATTCAAAATCAGATGTAAGTCTAGAATCGCCTGCATCTGATGACTTCCTGGAGATTCTAGTAGCTTCGTAGCGATGGCGACTAGTAGAACATGGATGTCTCGATAGAGGGACGTGAATCCGCCCTTATGTGCCCCTCCGACCAATGCTTGAATCAGCGATTCGATCAGGCCTTGTTCCAACAGCATTCTCAAAGCATTGGGATTCTAAAATTCAAATTAGTACATTAAATTTCAGTAAAACTGTTTCCAGCTTATATTTTCCAGCTTACTTTCGCAATTATATCAGTGATGAACGACACTATCGGCCTGGCTACATTTGGTTCGGTGCCAGCAGCTTTAGCGATCATAGCCATCAACGGTGGCATGGCAGCCACCGTCGGTCCCCTTAAAGCTAAATTTTCCAGAGCTACCACTAGAGGTTCGCTTCCAGGATACAACGCTATCTGATTAGCCAAATGCATGAAATACTTTTGCTTGATGAACTTGTTGACTTCTTCATCGCTGGCACGTTGCAGGTACGTTTGTACCACCTGTAAAACGGTCGTTCTTAGACTGATGGGAATACAGTAACTTTTAATCTCTTGTAACTGTAAAGTCCTTAATGAATACCTTAATTAACGCTGTGCGAACTCTAGCGTCCGGATTATTCGCCAGCACAAGTAAGAGCTCAGCCCTTAGAACATGTTTAAGCACCGACCCTACTTGACTGTCAGGTAGAACTCTAACTGCATCTCGGAGTAGCAACAAAAGACCTTCGCAGACCAAACCTTGGCACGCTCTTCTTTCATCCGTCCATGTAGTCTGCTTTTCCTGTAGCAACAGTTACAACGATTAATCACTAAACCAGACAAATAAGATTCCATTTCGTTTCAGGACAAAAGTATTTCATGCTTACATTGCTGAGAGGATTAGATCCGTCGCTAGCAGCAATCCCGGAATCCTCTCCAGCGCTGGTATCCTGAGGCGGACCGTTCCGACGTTCCTTTCTCTTCGGCATTTTATTCTTTTGAATCTGCGCATTCGTCAAGCCTTTGCTCAATTTACTGTTTTCCAAGGTTCCTATGGATTCCTCCGAAGAACTGGTGGTCACCGTAGAGCTGACTTTCACTATCTTCTTCTCCCCGAGAGATGGCAGTAAAAAATATATGTTATGCCTCGAATGAGTGATGTAGGTCTCTGAGGCTTGATGAACGAGGACTAAGAAGTCAGTGATAGCCACCAGGTGAGCAAATTCAGGTGGAGCACCCATCAGCGCTCTTATCAATTCGACAACCGCTGTTCCAGTTGACGAGTCGATCACAGCTCCCAGTTCCTCGTACAGGAAATGCTCCTGCGGATGCAAAAAGAAGGATGTTTATACCTTATACTCGAAGGAGGGTTCAAGCTGAAGTTTCAATTCCAAAGGTTACCTTGCACAGCGTCAGGATCGTGTCGACGATCTCAACTCTGTTCAACTGCGACGCGTTGAACTCGCGCTGCGAGTGCTGATCTCTGAGCAGCAGCAGCATCGCTTGCAGCAGCAAGCTCAGCGCGTCGTATTTAGCCCACGTTCTCCACGCGGTCAGAGCGCCTTTAATCAGTTCGGGATCGGTGATGACGGCCTCGCAGTTTTGCGAGACCAAGTGATTACCGCTGCCGATATCTTTTATTAGGATCGAGCTATCACATGCAGCGTCTAACATTGCTTTCAGTATGTGTCTACCTGCGCGGCATCGTGGCGATTCTAGCACGCGTAGAATCAGCGACGTTCCACCTTCTGACCGATACTGATTCAACAGCTCTGAATCGTTTCGTATCAGGTGCAACACTATCGACAACGCTAGAGCTTGCTCTTCTTCGGTGGAGTTCAACTCGACTACCTATTGTGCAACATAGTTCGTATAACAGGGATCTAATCTATCGAGCTGATACATAAAAGAGTTCCACTGTAACTAGAGGATAAATCATTGTTTGCCAGCTCCAACTTGCAGCCAATTCAATTTTGTACAGGTGATATGAAACAGTGATGAACATATTGTTTGGTAAATGTATTGGTATATTACTTGTTTAATGTAAAATTTTTACTTGTCAAGTAGAATGTAACTTATTTATGTATCAGCTCAATAATCGTACAAAGGGTGTATTCGATTTCTAGGGAGCTAGTGCTTACTCTGGCGAACAGGTACAGGAATATGGGCACCCCTCCCACTAAAGTAGCCGCGGGAACCAATCCTCTGTACTGTTGGCATTCCAACCGAACGGAGAGGATCGGAGCCACGGACAACGGCGGCTGTTGCGACACTCTGTGTTCCGGCGCGGAGACAACCCTAAAACCTGGTTGACCCGGAAACAGATTTCTTACCACGGCTAGAAACGAGTATACGACATTTATACGAAAAAAAACTAACAAACTGCAGTGGATCCAAACGCATGCACAATCCGGGCGCAACTTACCCGCGGGATTAGCGATAGCTTGAGGATACAGGTGGACAATATTGGGATTCTGCGCCTCGTAGCTGAGCAGCAGGTTATTTTGCAATTCCCCTAGATGAGAATTCGTGGCGTCCATTACGGCGTCCCAGTCGATTTTAGTGTCGGACACTTTTGTCTCGACAGCGTGTCGCAAATATGTCCCGCCGTACGACTTCCTGCGGCTCGCGTCGAATTTTCCTCCCTCTGCGTTAAGGATGGGCGAGATGAAGCAATGATTCATATGTAAATTTATCAAGTGGATCGCAGTGCTCACCGAATCGTATTTCTCGAACACCGTCCAACGCTCCGGACGCGATCAACGGTGCGAAATCAGGCTTCTCCGTGTTTAGAATACACTCAGCGAGATTAGTGTAATTAGGTCCGAGGCTGGCTAGGTACAAGGCCCTCTCTTTAGTAAACACCGGACACCTGCGCGTTCAATCGTGCGATTAAGTACATGGAAAATGGTAATCGATCGCGAATAAACTGTTCGACTTGATTCAAGTGTAATTCTAGGTCTCGGTGGATTTGAATTGATTATTTATTACTCTACCATGCAATTACTATTACTACTGCTATTTCTTATGAATATCCCATACCTGAACACCATCAAGTTGCCAAGATACCAAGCTCCAATGCTGCTGAAACCGATTTGCCCTAACAGGACACACGTGGTGCCTGGTTTTCTCACCAGCAGACCGTCGAATGGCAATTGCGCACTGATCTCCTTCCAACCGTCCACCCACAGGGACACTTCGACTACCGCGCTGCGTTTGTTTAATACGGTGTCCTTGAAATTCAGGGCTAAGTGATGCCACCGACCGGAAGGAAGCATACCGGTTATCGACGTTTCGGAGACAGTGCGGTTCATTTTGTCGTCCGGCCGTGTCAAACGTAGGATTAACTTATCTGAAAGAAGACAACGAAGAAATATTGCCTCGAAAACAATTGATAATCTCCAAATAATCTCGACGACGAAATACAACGGATTTACCTGATTTGAGATCCAGCCACGTTTCCAGAACCAGAGATTCGAACCCAATGGACATCAAATGTATGATGGACGTTGGCGTAGGTGGCGAAGCTGAACCTGCTATGACTGACGTACCCGAGAACATATCAGACATCGATTGGTCTTCCATGATAATTTAGGAAGCATGCGTTAAATAGAAAACACGCTTATTGCTACGTTTGACACGCATATGTGCGTTAGGTAATTTATGTAGACTGCGGATTTCCATTCAAAGTTTGCACCCATTCGAATGCATGAAATCCAGAGTCCAGTTACACATTAAAAGTAAACAATTGCATGCAAAGCTGTCGATTAATTGCTCTACCAACCTTCGCGACTCCAGTTGTCAGACAGAATGCCCCAGTCGGATAAACTCTCGTTATCCGAGTCGAGTAGCGGTGAAGTACTGATGATTGTCCCTTTCCCAGATGCCGATGATCCCCTTTCAACTCTCAGCCACATGGACACCGAACAACCGTGCAACCAAACTGGCCAAGCGAGTTCAGGACCAATTGGCAAACAAGTTGCGTGGACAGACCACGGGCTACATATTCCTGACGCAAGGTGTCTTTCCCGGAAGTTCCTGACAAGATTCTCAGCCTTCTCCAAGTTCTTGTACGCTTCAGACTGCGTTTTCGGCGACACATTTGCTTCGGACACCACAGGAAACGACAAGATGAAATTCGGTTGAGGCCGCGCGGCTAGGGCCAGATGGAAAAGCGACTGCAGCAGCGACAGAAGCGGTGGTTCGTCGACTTTGAACAGCGAGAGATAGGTGACTAATTCCGATGGCGAAATTGACTGCGTCGCTAGTAATGTGAACACTTCTAGAACGGCGTGTTGCAAGTCTGAAACACGGTGTTACGCAATATTGCGTTTAGTGATAAAAACTGAATGGAAGTAGCCTCAGAATTAAACCTTTAAGACTGGCTTTATATTTCAAATTCAAATGTGACTCAAGCTCAGTAGATTTACAGATTTCAATGAATGATAATTTTGCTATTGAAGGTACCTTGATACTGAGGGTCCTTAGTAGTGAAAATATCCCGAAACCCATTCAGTATTTTCGTGATCACTCCGGAACCCGCTAGAGCAGCGCAACTCGACGCACTTTCTCTACAGGTAGCAGCGACTTTCCTCAAACCAGCTGTGATAATAGCGCCCCTTTCTGCGTCCAAACCTCTGCAAAGAGTGTTCATTGATAAAGCTTCTTAATAATTCAGTTCTCATAGTATGTAAAGACTCACTGTTCACTGAAATGAATTAAAAGATCAACTGCCAGTGAACACAGCGCTGGATGAGCGTTCGTGTTGCCTCTGGGTTCCAGCACTGGTCCCAGCGAGTTGCTTCTCTTCACTGTGTTAGCACCGGGACTTCTTCCGGGTACTTCAACGTCCGCCTCGTAACCGTCGTCGGCAGTCACGTATTCACCTGTGCTGCTATCGTCCGCGGCGCAGTCTGGCATCACGTCTAACGTCACTGTTGGTAGCTAAGACAGAAAGTTGAAAGAAATTGAAGAAGACACTGAAATGAGAGATTCAAAACTTCAGCAGCCTGGTACAATTCTCATTGTTAAAATTATTGGCTCCATTCTTGGGACTCGATTAATAAATTCTATCAAAGCTACCAAAACTTTGGAATTATTTCCATGGAAAGTCTGTGTCTCCAAAAGTAGGTGTGCTTTCTTCATTTTGCCCTCAATATTAAATAGATTCCTATCTTTTAATCGACAAGCGTATAAAGTAACATACTCTAGGTCGAGTATACTGCGGCACAGTTTCCTCCTGAGCAGGCTTCAGCAAAGAAACTTTCAGCAAGGCCTCCACGATCACGGCCAGTCCGCGGCGCAACTGCACGCCCATCTCTATCAGCGTTTTTCCCAGCTCCATCACTACATCGCAGCCACCTGCATCGCAGAATATTTTCCATGTTATATACATGTAACGACGAAAAAATCGGTTGAATACATTAACGGTACTACGATCTAACTGGAAGAAGAATCAACCGACCGATGGATAGTTTCAGGTGTTTACCGGCTACGGTCGTTCCGTGAACTGTTTTCACGCCGGGCGAATTCCCCGAGCCTATTGGAATTATAATCCGCAGCTGTGCTCGATCGAGTTTTACGCACGCAGGACAGAAACGTACGCCGGACGATTCGTGATTCACGGTTCGTTATATAAAACTACTTACACAACGGGGACGTCAAGCAGCACGTGAGCAAAGCCTCGAAGAGCCTGTGCGCTGATTTATTGGTGTCTGAAACAGGGCCAAACGTCTTAACATTAATTTCGACGCCTTGTAACACCGACGCGATCCGGCTTAATCAGTCCAGAAGAACATACCCATAATACTATCCGTGGAAATGCACACAGCGAGCTTTCTGAAAAGTTGCAAGGACTTCACCGACAGGGGATGCAGAGACAGTTCAGCGCGAAATTTCGGGCTGCTCAGCGCTACCCCGGCGGCGGCCCTCCAAACAGCGCTCGCTTGGTACAAATTCAACTTTTTATTCGTCTCTGCATCACTATCAGCTTCCACGGAAGTGGCTGTGACGTCCGATCGGTCGAATACTTCAGGAAAATACGAAATCGTGCTGGCAGAACTCTCTGTCTCTGGTTCCAACTCCAAAGTATCGTTCACGATGCTAGCACCCGCTTGAACGTTCTGCTCACTGGCTTCCCGACTGCTTGTTTGTTCGACGCGTTCCGAGCTCTCCAGACCATTGAGTAATTCTATCGTTTCCTTCTCGAGAGACTCGAACAGGGATTTCAACGCGGGTTTCCCTGCAGTCTCTACGGAATCGCGTTCCGTGGAACTGGCTCTCCAAATTTCGATGATCACCGTAACTTCTAGAAGCGCGTACACGCTTCTAGTGAAGGTGGTGTCTGGTAGCAGTACCAGTGCTTCCTTCAGTCCATCCGCCTCCATGAACCCCTCGCATATCTGCGTGTTCACGATCAAGCAGGATATAGCGGAGAGGCAGGATTGAACGAGGAACTTCGCAGTCGCGTTGTCTTTGTCGGACGCGTAGCAAGACTTAGCCTTCAGGAAGGTAGGATAGAATACTTTCCTTAGCAGCTCTCGTCTGACCTGAAACCTGGAGGTAGGTCCTATCTTCAGCAGATGAGCTATTATAACGTAACAAAGTTTCGGCTCGTCGGGAGTCAACAATTCAGCGTACATCTCCAGAAAGTCCCAGGAACAGGTAGCTGGTCGATCACAGGTGGAGCAGAGGTCTGACTCCGAGTAAGCCCCGAGCTCCTTGAAGAAGGTTCTCTCCAGAAGAGCAACGGCTGGCGCGTAAGTGGCTGGATCGTGTTTCTTCAAGAGCGACGTGATGCTGAACATCAGTGTCCTCGGGGGGAAGCAGCAACAGGTGCCAGCCGCGGCGCAAACCTTGATCAGCCGGACCTGCAGCTCGGTGGCGAAGGGATGGGACTCCCTGAGGAGACTGGTGAGCGTCATGAACAACGACGAAATGCAACAACCCTGCTTAGTGACAATGCCGACGAGAGGCTGAGCGTACGCCGCGCCGAAGACGTCGGTGTGATGATGATTGGGCAGGTTGTTCGCGCAGAACTTGTGTTTAGACCGGCTGCAGTTGGCCGCGTGCGAAATGTCGCGTCGCACAGACTTTAAGCCGCTGGTTAGCGCGCCGATCATATCAATGACCTTCCTGGCGCGGATTACGGACCTGGCCGGATCGACGCTCGGCAGATCGACGATCGCCAGGATCGTTCTCTCGACGAGCTTGCCGTCCTGGCTCTCGGTGAACAATTGGAACAGCTCTAAAAAATCGGACAGCTTCTCTATAGCAGCGCCCTGCTGATGAAGGAGGCAGTACAGGAACGTGACGATCCCATAGATGGTAGCGAAGATGAACTCCTGCAGCAGCGACCCTTCCTCCGGCGAGAAGACGCTCACCGGTTTGCTGCAGGCGTCCTCCAGCAATCTCAGGGTCATCGGCAGCAGTCCGTTGTGAATCACGGTGGTAGTCGGTTCGTTGGCTCTCAGTACACGTTCCAAAGCGGTCAGCATGAGCCTGGCAGCGGCCGCTTTCAAAGTAGCGCATTCGGTTCCGTTCAAGCCAGCCCCGTCTATGCCGAACTGCAGGGACCACAGCGTGTCCAAAGCGAATTTCAGTACCTGCACGGCCGGCGTCTGCTCCGCGGGGGTGTCGTAACCCCGTAATCCCTGCAGCAACTGAATGATCAACAGACTGGTCTCGAAATTGCTGATCCTAGCGCCCAGCACGCTCTTGATCCTCTCGTCGATGTAGTCCTTGGGCGTCTTCTTCGCCGGCCGGGTGGGCAGCTCGTACAAAGCGGCCTGCCATTTCTGCTCCTCGTCGCTGCGGACGACGGAGGTGAAGTACTCAAAGTCCATGGGGTTCAGGCGGATCTTCAGCGTGAGGGACCGCGCCTGATCGATGCCGTCTGTCAGCAGCTCGGACTCGCTGCTCGCGGTTTCCGGCGTGTTGCGCCGCGTGTCGAACATCCCGAACGACCTCTGCTTGCCGTGGACCGGCACCTTCGCGCCGATGCTTTGTCTGCGACCCGTTCTCCTACGGGACGAAGCATTGCCCTCGTGGGAAGCGTTCCGGCTGGACTTGATCGGCTTGCGTTTCGCGTGCGGCACGATCTCTACCGTGTCGACGGTGTCGTCGTTCGAGTGAAACTTCACATAAGGATTGCCGGCCGACTCGACGCTCGACGGAACCGCGCCGCCGTTCGGAGCCCTCTGATCGGCCTTGCCAGCCTCTTCTTGAAGGGAGACGGGATAGAGGGCAACCAGAAGAGCCACCAGCTCGCGGCCGCAAGACAAGCCTCGCACGCCCAGCAGATGGAGAACCGATAGGCAACGCCAGCCACGGTCCTGGGTCAGGTACCTCCGCAACCCGATCAGCTCGTTCCCGTCGATCCTCTTCGCGCAGAGCTCGTGCACGTCCGAGAGCAGCTCGCAGGCTATCAAGGTGGATACTCCTCCGCCGCCGACCGAACTGAAATGGGCATTTCCATACTACGTCTTTTATATTGTTATCTTATCCATCGGACAAGGTAGGCGACCTTATCTACGCCTATTATCGGCCGCGATACGACTACCGTTCGGACGTCAGCGGGTGGTGCGCAATCTTATTTCCAGTGGGAGACGCGATATCTTCGGGGGAAGTTTCGCGCGAGCGGAACGGATGTGCGACGGTGACGAAAGTTGATACATCGGGCGTACGGGGAAAGTATCCGATCGGAATCGCGAACGTGATCGCTGACGGACGAACTTGTTTCTATACGTGGATGTTAACATTGTTGCACGGATATCGGCGATAGACCGTACGACGGGGTTTAAAAAGATTATCGATGGAGAGATATGTACGCGCGTCTCGTTTCCAAATATACAAGCCGGCGTTCACGTGAAAGTTATGATAAACTAGCACAAGTGGAACGATAACGCTTTCGATGGCGAGAATAGACGAGACGGCGAATAATAATCGTCTTGTTCCGCGCTCTGCGAAAGGAACGAACGATTCTATGTATTTTAATGAAACGATTAAGTTCTCCGCTATTTTCTTATTCGAAGGAATGTTAGAAACAAGGTAACCAGAAGGAACGAAGATAAGATAAAAACGGATTGAACAAGCAACAATAGAGACTCAAAGGCAATTCTCGAATTATAGTAAGATATAGTCTTAGATTGAACAGGAACTCGAAGGAACAAAGCAGGATCGGGACGCGTTTCCTTCGATCGAATACTTTCCACCGGTACGCTCGGTTAACGCTCTTGTTTTTCGGTTTCGATGTCTGGTATTCGCGAGTGCGCGGATCAATCGTCTCTAGCCAGTGCACGTGTGAGAAAGTGACCGCAAACGGCGAGCGTGTCGAAGGTAAAAAACCGTCCGGAGCGATCGAAACCGCAAAATCGGGATCGGGTATTCATTCTGCGGTCGGCGATCGGCGCGGTCGAGCCATAAAAATCACTGGATCCGCTAGTCCCCGATCTTCGGCTCGATCGGATGCACGTTGGTCCGAGGCTCGCGCGAAGTGAATCACGTTCGTGCCGTCGGCGCCTCGATTTTCGAGGGGATTAATAGCGACGGCGTTATCGCGATCGATGGCGATCCAGATCGGATATCTTCGCGATCTTACCAAAACGATAGGGCATCTTTCACGTCACGGCCTTCTTTCACTTGAGCGAGCAGCTCGGCGAGGAACACGTCCAGCCAGGATGACTTCTGAAAGAAACAAGAGAGACCACCGATTACGCGGAAAAATCGGAATTAGGAAGGTCGAAAGTTCGCCGTTGCCGTCGATAATTTCGGCGGACTAATTGGCGCGGACTAAGTAAATACAAATAATGGAACGTCTCCTCTTTTTTTCTTTCTTTCCGCGACGACAACGTGCATCCGAGATTCGATACGATGGTAGGAAAACAATTCGCCGCGTCGTAGATACGGTGGCTCACGAGGAAATAAACAAAGATGTTGCCTCTCCTCGGATCCCGACGTGTTCGACGATTGTTTCGCGCGACGCCGATAAAATAATCGCCGCGATAGACTCGTTCCGCTGCCGAAAACAGCGGCCGACGCTCGCGAGCTCTGCGCTTGACGCGATCCCGTTCGTTTTACGGGCTCGTCGGTGGCTCGTCGTCGCCGATTAACCCTTCGCGGACGGACGCAATCGAATTTCACAGCGCCCGTGACGCTTTTCGGAGTAAACACATGATTCACAGCGGAAACAACCGCAAACATTGCGCCGATCGTCGATTCCGGGAGCTTTGTGTCAATTTGGATTGACGGCAATTGCGTCCGCGCGCAAGGGGACTCGCCGAGATAACGCTTTCTCTTTCGATACCTTGCGTCGAAAAAGCCCCGGATGACATAACCGCCAGCAGGAGATACCGCGGCGAGAGCGTCACGAACGAAACAAACAATCCCCATTAATTTCGACGATGATCGATCGAAAATATTCACCGGCCCGTCCGTCGCCCGTTAATCTCGCGCGCAGAAGTAATCGATAGTGTTTACGTTATACGAGACGGAGATGATCACGCGGTTCTTCGCTACCTGTGGCGAAGTATTGACTGCGTAACTTGTATGTCATCCGGGCGCAAGGCTAAAGTGGCGTTTAGTTACATGATCGTGGGTGATTGACGATCATTATATTCAGCGGACCGACCATTACAGGCGCGTTAATCAGGCATGCAAGAAGAAAATGGTCGGCGTTCCTTGCCAGTGGAAGACTCGGAGAGAAAGGCCGGCGCGTCGAGGTAAAGGTAATGTTGAAGGCGACCCAACTAGCAACTCGTCCTCGCTTCTCCTTGAACACGTTGCGTCGAGAAAAGAAAATTCTAGAACTATCGAATCCTCTTTAACGAGACAATCAAGAGACGATTCAGAACAATTGAAAGGACTATAACAGAACGCCGAAGACGACGGAGTACCTTCGAACGCACTAGAAACTCGACGGTCGCGAGAAATCGGTCGACAGGTGTAAACCTCGTTCCGCTTCAAAACGCGACGAACGATCGAGACAAAGTTGATGCAGATTTCAGATCCAAAATATATACCTCGTAACTCTGCGGCTCCGCGTGAATGAAGTGATCCCACAAAATCTGCAGCTTGTTGGTCGAAGCGGAAGACATCCCGAGGCGGTCCTCGTACTCCTTCTCGTCGTCTTCCTCCCTGTCCTCGGTCTTCAGCCGGTTGTCCTCCTCATAGCTCATAAGCTCGTCGAAGCTGAACCACGGGCACAAGGTGTCCTCGGCCAGTCTGCGAGGATCACCGGCGACGCTCGTAATCCGATCACCTGAAACGATCGTGGACCTTTATCCCAGGCGCGCCTTCCTCAGCCGCGCGAACATCGAAATCTCGAGCGTCCCCGCCGATCTTTTACTACAGTGTACAACGGTCTCCGCCACTCTCTCCGTTCTACTAATATCAACGATTCTATCCACGATTCTATCCGCTGCGAGCTGATCATCGTCCGACTCCGGACTCTGTCAGAAGCGTCGCGACCGATTCGCGTGCGAGAAACGCGTCCGCGGCGTCGGGCCGCGCGTGTATGCGTTCCCGTCGATCTAAGCGACTACACAACGGGCTTACATAACATCCCCACG